GGAGACACTGCAGTAGATCAAAGGTGGGAATTTTCTTAGTTTTGTGTATTTTGGACTAAAACGTGTAATTTGTCTCAATTTTACCCACAATTTCCAAAGTAAAGGTTTGTGGTTGTAGGCACAGCGGTGAAGGCAGTGGTGAGGTCATACACCCAGTGGAATAAGATACTCAAGTCTTTACTGTAAAAATGGACAGCAGCTGAAAATTTCACTTTTTGACCAAATTAAATGTCGAACATTTTAAGTTTTTACATGCTTTTCCAAATAAGGGTTTATTCACAAAACGAGTCTCCTAAGCGCGCTTTCTGTTCGAGGAGAAAAGCTGACAGCGAAAGGCTGTTCTGCTATTACCGTAAGCAGTCAACAAAACGCGCACTGCTTTTCTCTCGATGCGGGCCGTTTTACTTCGGAGGTGAAAGATGCGGCCCACTTTACCGCGGTGTTCAGAAGTGCGTTCGCGAGAGCTGTTGTACAAAAATCGTACATTTCATAGTTAAACCACTACAACGCGGCCACAGCTGCCCCGGGGCAGAGCGGAGGATGTTAATCCTGTTCAGAAACGGCATAATTCATTTTCAAAAACGTCTCTATCACTTTCACTTCTCACTCGCCACAAAGCTCTTGTCTCGCTCCATCACACATTTGTTGGTCGCATCCAATTTTACCTTTCTCGCCACAATGCTGACCTGATACAGCCAGTGGTCGCATCCAATTTTTCAGTTTCAAAGTACTTAGCTATCTGCTGCCATCTACTGATTTGAAAAAGTATTACATGGTTACTCACAGTTCAAAACAAGTCACCGCTCGTCAACAGCGAATGCAGCTATTTTTAGACAAAGTAGACGAATTTCTCACGGCACACCAGACAATATCATACGGCACACTAGTGTGCCGCGGCACAGTGGTTGAAAAACACTGCGATAGATCATTCCCCGTGTTTGAGCCTGAACACATGGGACTTCAACACACAGACTGGGGTTTTAACTTGGGACTTGGGAAGATGAATATGTCCATAAAAAACGTATAAGCTCCTTTCTCAGGTATGCAACATAATTACAGCGAACTCCAAATGTGTTTTGTGCAGAAACCTAATATACAGTCCTGTCCATAAATAATGAGACATGGGCACATTTCTCATATTCTGACTGATCACTGCAATTACATGACCCACCGTGAGACACAACAGAATAAACGCTTGTACCGGTCTCCACACTGACGGCTGATGCTCCACTCCCTTTGGTCGACTCCAACACAAACAAGATGTTCCAGAGCGCATCCGTTTTGGCTGAGTAACCCCCGGGCCCACCACACTCCACAGGGGGTCCGCGCCTCGCTCTGGAGGAATTATTAAACCCCCCCACCCCTCACATCATCCACAAACAAAGGAGAGGCTGGGCTGTATCGCTCTCACTATACAAGGGTTTGAACAGTGTTATAGGCTAAGTTCATGTGGTAGAAGTCTATATATATCATATTGTCAGCTTACAACAAGCCAGAAAATGTACTATTTAAAAATCTACAAACATTAAACTTCAATGATTTGTTGACCTTTACACCTTTACACTTTGATTTGAATGTTTGAGATAAAAAAATGACCTCCTGTCAAGACCACTACAGAAACAGTTCACAATCAGAGACAGTCATTATGAGTTGAGAGGAATATGTTTGTAAAGCAAAAATGTAGATGTTGTACATGTTTTTAGTGGTGGGCGAAACCGGAGCACCTGGAGGAAACATGCACAGATACAGTAAAGGGAGAACAAGCAAACTCCACACAGAAAGGCCTAGCCTAGCCTTAGCCATCCGTACACTCCGTTCAATCATCATTTCACTGCATGTAACGTCTGGGTCTGATCCCTGGGTTAGCGATTACAATCGGTTGAATTTCGACCAAAGTTCAGAGAGCGCGGGAGGCGGGTGTTGTAGTTTGTTGTGGGTGATGTCAGGAGTTTGCGTCGAACAGGCAGGTCGTAGTTTGGTAATAGCAAAAAATGCGATAGTAAAGTAATCCGGTCTGATTCTATCAAGAAATTTAAGCCGGAGCAAGAGGAATGTTTAGCAAATGTAATCGCTGGAAAAAATTGTGGCGCTACTCCCCACAGGCTCTGTTAGCGACAAAGGAGATGGCTAGGCTAAATGCTAACAACAAACTCGGGCACGTTACATACGTCACGGTAAACTCAGATCCAATCGTTTCAATCTGAAAAAGGAGTTAACCCCTCCCACCTGTTCACGGAGCTCAGTGGAGAACCTCCAGACCTTAGTATAAAATGTAATTTGTACTATGGTGTGGTACGACCACACCATAGTACAAGGGAAAGGCCCTTTTCTGACTGGGATTTTTTAATTCTGTCACCACTTCTACCTTCCTTTATGAGAAAATAATGATGCCATAGTTGTAAGTGCTGACAAGATGATGTGGTATTTGAAGACAGATTTTTTATCATGTGGATTGGCCCAGGGATTACAGAGAAATGAGCTCCAAACTGGGACTAGAACCTAACTTCGGACAATGGCTTTCAAACTTTACAATACCAGAAAGGCTCAGACTTACTACCACGCACAAAGGTTACAGTCGTAAACAGCGAAGGATGAGTCCGACCTGGAGCGTATTGGGAATGGCATGTATTCCATCGAGGCTAACTCCACTCATACTTGCCCTTTATAGTGAGACATTTGTCTTTGATCCATTGCAATAAAATGTTCTTCCTGGCAGCGACGGTGAGAACACGGTACAATGTGTTTTTGTTTCCTGATGAGATGCGTGTGCTCAGCAGTCCCGATATAAAGAGAAATATCTAACTCCAAACATTTTCTAAATTTCACAATGCAAATATGAAACCAACATATGAGATAAACTTATTACATGCAGAGAGACATATGCTGAGCCTGTGTTCACTTTGTATGCAATGAGTCTGCTTTTTATTAGTTTAAAATTGTTAGTTGAATTACAGAAGTAAATGGACTTTTTAACAATATTCTAATCGTCTGAATTTCCATTTATTTTAATTCATTCATCAGTTTACTGGCAGTACCTTCGTAACTTTGTACATGACCAAAGACAATGTGTGTCAAAGTTTCAGTTAGCCAATTGTAAGATTGTTTAATGCACTTTTGATATTTTATTTAGTTTGTTTTTGTAGTGAATTTTAATCTGCTGCAGCATGTAATGTGCAATTTACGGTCTATGGGTGCAATATACATAAAAGGTATTGTTATTATAAATGATATTGCATTAGCATCATAGTGTAACCCAACATTTTAAGCTGAACAGGCTCCAAAGACCAAAAAGCTAAAAACAACATCATCTGTGCTGACTCAAACTTCATTGTTCGAGCTGATAACTTGTGGCACAAAACTAAACATTTGCTTTGACGTAGCGTGCAGGTTAAGTTTATGTATTCAGCAGAGCTCTGTCCGTAATAGATGCCCTAACTTTGAGAGGCACTTATCAAATTACTTAGTGGCTGAAATGTAATTAGTGCAGCCAATTAGTCCGTAATTGTCAGACAGAGAAAGCGTTCTGCTGCTGTGTCACGCCGCTAATGAATGGTAATGGTGCAGGAGTCGAGTTAAAAAATCTGCTCCAGACGTGACGAGGGGAGCGTGCGTCTGCGGCGAGGGAGCAGCCGAGTGACGTGTTTAGAATCAGGCCCTTTAATAAGGCCGTCACACCAGGCATCCTTTGGGCTACTGTCGCCTCTCACATTTAGTAGAAAAGCGTAGGAATAATATAACTATAGAGAACTAGAAAGCACAGTACTCCCATCTTGTGAAAAAGTGGGAAATTTAACCACTTAATCACTGGACGTTCTGTGTTTGAGCGGTTTGATTCTCTGATCTGTCTTGGCGAGTCAACTGGTTTGTGAAGTCCTCAGAGATAACTGCTGTTGTGAATTGAATCGAAATGGCCTGCTATATTAAGAGGTATACAGTATCTAACATGGCGAAGTCTATTTGAAGGCATGCAGTTGGATTGACTTTCATTTGAATTTTTCTATTAATCTGATCTATCTAATCTTTATCTAAATGATATTGGGATTAAGAATCTCTTTTTGAAAGTGGTTTAGAGGTTTGTGTTAAAAGGCAAAACATGGTACTCTGTCAATTATGTCACAGTCTGAGGATATGTCATTGATTATTGGGTATGGTTCTTTCACAGTCCAGATACGTAAATAGAAGGGGGTATTTTAGCTTGTCCAGCATGCATTCATGACATAGAAAGAAAGATTGGGATTGTAATTGTAAAGACTTCATTAGCTCAATACTACATACGGCCCCTGCCTTGCTCAGTGACATCATACACCAGACTATATTGAATGGACAGACTTTCCTTGCTTCTATGGATGGTTAATACAGTGGAGAAAGTAAAATGACTTTCGACTGCACCTTTCACAGACAAGAGCAGTCACAAAGTCAAACTCTCACAGCGCCCATAAACCTATACAACCCTCCACATATATTACCCAGCATGCAATGCACTTCAGTGACCTTTTAGCGTCTCATGTGAATCCAACACGGAGCAATGGACTTAGACTGGACTTTACTGAGCATGCCGCGCTAATAACCGAACCACGACACGCGATGACATTTGAGCGCGGCTGACGCATCGATCGACCGCTGTCTCCACCTGATCACTGCTGAGAGACTCCTGCTGCAGGTCTGAGGAGCGCAGGCACATTTAAAGCAGTCTGCAAAAAGAAAGCCTTGCCACGGCCCATTAGAGCCACTCTGCGCCTCAACTGGAGAGGGACTAATTAGCTGAGATTGCAAAGTGTGGAAATAAAAAGCTCTGTAAAAGGGGGCTTAATTAAAGCGGCCTGCAGTCGCACTCTGGATGAAGGGGCTGCAAACCGCCAAGATGCGACCGCAGTTGTACAAAGAGTCACAAAGTACAGCGATAACACTTACTTTCTGATGGGGAATAATAATGGCAGTGATTTGATAGAATTACGAGTGACGTCAGTTCTGTGCTGGAGGGTGGAGCGTTGTGGACTCAC